GGAGTATATGTAAACAACACAACGTAACATTGTGCATCGCTTTACACACAAATACACGAATTCGGTTACGTTTCATAACGGCATGCGGGACCCTCCACACACAAACATTCCTCCCCACTGAGTTTTGTTTGCTGTGCGTAGAACCGGCAACATTCCTGCGCTACTGATAACGGGAATGGCTCTCGTTAATCTTTAACATTCAAACACTACACACAGCCATCACAAGCATGACCAGAACCACCACCGTCGTTACCCGGAACCTTACAAAAACGTGCCTTCGGGCATGGCAGAAAATAATCATCAGCGTCGTTCTGGAGATTATGAGTCGTGGAATAAATATGCAGAAAATGATTACGCCTCCTTCCCATATCTGTCCCTTCGCGTAGAATAACACAAGTTTTTTTATATATATGTTTGGGTAACACACTTTTCATCGACCACACGGCCTTCTGGGAGAGAATGACTTCAGCAAGCATTGGTTCAACGAGAGCAAAACTCCGGTCCGGTTTTGACGCTGTCAGAGTCTCGTCAGCCTGGTGAACTGCCAAGATGCTTAGAGGCACGGAGCCTCTCAGTTCGAGGTGGGTTCTCGGGGCACTGCTCTTTGTACTTCGAATACGTAATTACAAACGCCTCAGCGTGTGCCTTTTCACTTGCGTGCATACGGTGAACTTCTCTCGCACCACTGTGCGTAACCAACCGTGCTCATCGGAAGTGCGCGGCAAGGACATCAAACTCAACAACACCGAAACACGCAACACCAACAAGGAGGCCAGTAGGTGCCCTCGTCCCGTACGGAGGAGGAGGGCTTCAGACTGAGATTGCTCACTTTCAAGTAGTGCCAAACGATGTCTCGTGACTGGTACAATCCTCACGCATATCGGTGTTCCACGTAAAAATTCCATCGTTTTCCGCGATATATATTTATATTTTTTTATGACATGGCCATGCCCGATGGATTTTTTTGTTTTACTACACTCTGACACCACCGCCGCATCATCATCATCATCATCATCGTCGTCGTCGTCACTGTCCTAATGCGCTTTGTATAAAATCTCACAAAGATCACAGTGGCCCCCAGGTGTGTTTTAATGCGGTCAATTCTGTCCTCAAGAGGGCCTCGTTAAGCGAGGAATTACCTAACGCGAGCTCAGGCACACGTTGTCTCGCTCAAGAGGGAAAATGTAACATCCAGGGGAGAAATAAATCACAAGGTGTCAATCACGGTGACATACGACAGGCATCCCAGAATGCCGTGCATGTCAAGATGACATCGCAAATCTGCATGCACATTCCTGCACACCAGCCCTTGTGATGATGGCAACCGGCTATTTAGGAACCCTCCACCACCCGACACGGCCGAACAAATTAAACGGTGAAGGCTGAAGGGCAATTGTCAAGAACATTTATCAATTTGTCTTCAACTTAGCCGGTGAGTGAGCTGAAACGATCATAATTGTCGTGAAACGTTTGTGCACGCGACAATTACATTTGTTGGACTGTGTCGGGTGGCAATGGGTGTTTACAACACGGGATATGTCAGGTCATTACGAGGCATCGCCCAAAGATCGATGACAAGCATCGTGATATTGGCCGTGAAAACCCACGTGTTCAGTTAACCATATATCACCGGTGCGAGAAGACCGCTCACAGCTCTGCTGATGTTGTGCAAACGAAACGCGACCAGTGTCAAGGTTACCTTGCACCTTGGTCCAGACATGGGAAGAGGGAAACAAAGTTTGAAGAGGTTTGAGAGACAATGGAAGCGATTCATCTACGTCCGGTGGTATTCATTCCTTAACCCACCTCGATCTGTCAGTCGTGCGGATGTGACCATCCACGCGTCCCCCGCATATCGGCGGCACAGACACCAGGCTGGGCCCGGCACATAGACCCGCGCTATTCCCGAAGGAGCGTAGAGCATCGCCTTTCGGAGCGAAGCCGCCAGCGCGATTGAATCGTTCTCGAATGAGCAAATACGGGAATGGGTTTTGTCTTAAGGAACAAAATATATACGTACAGTATATGTTTGGGCAAATCAAATTACCATCACACAAAATAAAACTTTAATAATAACAGCAACGTGACTTGTATGTACAATATGCATTACGCGTCCGCGTGGTGTATTTTACGGTTAAATAATAATTGTAATAAATAGATAACCCGTAATATCAGGCAGCCCGGCAGCAGCTATTTCTTTAACAGGCTACACCCTGCAGATGATACGCAGAAAGTTGAAACTGGTCCAGTGTTTGTCTTCTCAAACGATGGTGAGAAATGCAAACGGAAAGCCAAGATAGACTAAAATGTTGAGTTGATCTTTACGCTAAAGCTAACAAATGTTTTCTGGGAGGCTGTGACACAGCCCCGTTCCCTCTGTCCGCCTCAGCCACATTTCAATCGCCATCATCACTCCTCCGGGAGGGGGGGGGGGGGGGTGACGACGATAAAACTAGTACCACTTTGCGGGGGAAGTCAACGGTGGTCGTCTGATGGGACGGACTCCTCGCCCTCGCTACAGGAATGTGGAATTTCCACCACTTGCTCTGCAGGACTGTAAACAGGGCACAAGCACCAATGCTCGTTCGAGCAGGTAGTGGCTTTTACTTGACTGGGGTTAAGGGATCGCCAATAAAACTATCAATTCCTCGCACCCAACTCGCCCTGAGACCCGGTGACGGAGGGTGCGCGAACAAGCTTCACGGACAAATGCGGCCGTGGCATTATAACGTACAAATCCCCCAAGGAGGAGGAAACCCATCAAACAAACAGAAGAACAATAAGTTAGCCGGCAGCTTGCGTGCACGCATCTTAAAAATCGCCAACCGCGATCGCGGCTATATTCAGGCTCCCAGCCGAGACCAGATCGCACGACTAAAATACCGGTGGCGAGGACGTCGACGCCAAATTCGGCCAAGCGACGGGAGCTAAATACGTCGACCCATCACAAAATGTTTCCAGTTTACGGAAGCCTTCCTCGGCAAGGGTGCACATTGGTTGTTTCCTCTTCTGGCCGACAAAACACGTGGCGGCGGCGGCGGCGGTGGCGGCGGCGGTGGCGGCGAGCGAGGATGGCGCCCTCCCCTCCAAGTGGCCGCACAATCGCGAATCAATTCCCACCGATTCAAGACGCGCCGACCAATCAGGCGGCTCGCGGTGGGAAGGTCGTGAGTTCAAATCCTGGTTCGGTGGGGAAGGAGGAGGGGGGGGGCATTGGCTCAGCCCATCAGCTCTCCGGGGTCGATAAAAACGAGTACCGCTCTGTGGGGGAAGTCAACAGCGGTCGTCCTATGGATAGACTCTCCCCCACCGTACGACTGTGGAATTTCCACCACTGGCTCTGGAGGGCTGTAAACGGGAGAAAAGCGCTGTTTCCCCGCCCCCGTATGCTAAACAAAATGTTGGGGGTTACGTGTTATCGTGCGGTAGGTGTGCGTCAGAGTGAATTTGAACCAGTTCTGGGCCGCCCCTAGGTTGACTCAGCCTTAAATGAGTATTCAGTGTGGTGTGGAGAGACAAAGGCGGCACGGGCTTAGTGTTTGCCACCCACAGACTCGTGTCTGCCAGCACTTGCCCCAAAATCCTATCAACGCTATACGGGGGGGGCGGGGGGGATCTTTTTCCCGTGACAATATTTATAATAACTTTATTGGCTGCAGGTGTAAACGTTTGGGGCGAGTCTCACTTTCCTGCGTGCGTCTTATAACCCTGAGCAGACGGTAATGTCGCACCTGGGGCCTTTGTTACGAAGTGTAAACAAACGCCACCCTGTTGCAACCGCGCCCCGTGATTGCACCTGCAAGGTGTAAAAAAAAAACGCAAAACGAATGCCAATTTGGTAAACACGGTTCAGTCATCTCCTGTAGGACTCCACCAAACCTCGCCCTATCACACGATTCTTCTCAAGAGCATTCACGTGCAGCTTATCGCACACAGGCCCGGCCTGAGGGGTGAGCTCTCAGGAGCGGCCACCCAGGCCACCGACGGAGCATTGTTTGTGAATAGTCCAGGGGTGGGCAACATCTTTCCTTACCTACGGCCGAAAGGGACGTCACCACGGTGCTTGTGCCAGGCCAGGTGCACTTTGAGGCCACGTGACGTGCGGAAGGGCTCGCTGCCGACAGGTCACGGGACAGACCCAGGTGCCATGGGTTGGCTGACCGAGATGACCGCTCGATTAACCACCTGTGCCCCCTACTGCGTCTATTTGCTGCGTTTTATCAACCTGGCGCTCAATCCTTTTGATCACTTCCACCGGGTGCTACATTCTCTTCTTGCCCAAGGCTCCGTGACACGTCGCGACCGGGCCTGATCGTAGCACAGTGCGGGACAAGTTCCCGGCGGTCACAGCCATGCCCGTCACAGCAACGTGGAATTTCCTGCCCGCCGGCTCGGGGCCTGCGAGCAGGACATGAGCGCCGCTGACCCCGTGCTCGCTCGGGCAGGGAATCGCTGTCGTTGAACTTCGATGGAATCCTACAGGGGAGTATTTGTTTTTTTTTCCGCGTGATTGTCAGGACAGCGTTTGACAAAAGCGTGCGTGCACACGTACGCACGTGCGTACACGACAGATGCTTCAGTGTTTTCAATAAAAATCCCGCGCGCGTTAGTGAGCGCGACGGTGCTACGAGAGAACATCCCGTCTTCGTCGCAGCAGCAGTTCGGCTGGTGTTCTTTTGTGCCTCCGCTGACGACCGACGACGCAGACCCCGCGTTTGGCGACGCGACCGTGCCCGTGCGCGCACCGCGTCACATCCCTCTCGGGCAAGGTCACGGACGAAAAATAAATAAAAAACGCAAATCGCGACGTAGCTAAGTCTTGGCCTTGTTCTGCAACGTTGACCATCGGTCCGCAGGACCGCTCTAAACGGAGCTGAAGTATCGTGTACTGAATAACATTTTAAATAAGAATAATAAACCCCACGGAGGCTCGGTTGAGAATGTTTGTGTTGCTGCTTGCGTGTTCGGAGCGCCGCCGCAAGTGCAGCTGCTCCCTGGAGGGATCCCAATGAGGTGCGTCGCAACAAAACCGCGACTTCGCCGTCGTCAGCTCGTCCGTCCATTCGCCCCTTGCTTTCTCGTACACGCACGGCGTCCGTGCGTCGGCAGTCGTGCGTTGCCGCGGCTCTCACACCTCGCTGACCTGCGCGTGTTTGCTCAGCTCCTTGATGCCGTGCAGTATCCTCTTGATGTGTCCAATCTTCGTAACTCCCAGGTCCTGCGTCGGGAAACACCAACGTGTGCGTGAGTGTATGTGTGTGAGTGTACGTGTGTGTGTGTGTACGTGTGTGTGTGTGAGTGTACGTGTGTGTGTGAGTGTACGTGTGTGTGTGTGAGTGCACGTGTGTGTGTGAGTGTACGTGTGTGTGTGACTGTGTGTGTGTGTACGTGTGTGTGTACGTGTGTGTGTGTCTGTTTAGGACTGTGACTCATGCAGCTGCAATGGCTGCTTTGGGTACGTGGTCCAGACCTCCCCAGAGACCCTGGCTGACAGAGGAGGTGTTCAGGATGGTTGAGAAAAAGCGACAGGCCCACTGTCATCGGCTACAGAATCCCACATCAGAGAATGAGGCTTACCGCAGCCTTCGCTCGGAGGTTCGGAGAGCCGTGAGGCGCTGCAAGGATGGGTGGTGGTCGCGGGTTGCTGAGGAGATGGAGTCTGCCTCAGTGGCCCGTGATCACAAATCTCTATTTAACTCCATCAAAAAAGTAACCTGCAGCGCCACACCTATTAACCATCATTAGGGGAAAAAACGGTGATCCAATCTCCGACCTCCAGGAACAGGTTCGCAGATTTGCTGAGCATTTGTGAGGTCCTGGGGGAGGGAAAATCCCTCAGCCAGGAAAACATCGTGGCACAAAGTAAGGATAACCCTGCTGAGGCTGCGGTGCCTCAAATATTGGAAGAAGTCACCCCCTGTGAGTGGCTGGCTGAGGTGCCATATGCTGAGGAAGTATTGAAGGCGATCCGGAGTCTGAGACCAGGAAAGGCAGCGGGCAGAGATGATCTCCCAAGCGAAATGCTGAGGGAGGGTGGCGTTTGTGCACAGACTGCCCTATATGACATCATAACAACAGTCTGGACCACTGGACGGGTTCCGCAGGATTGGAAGGATGCCCTGGTGGTCCCCCTTTTTAAGAAGGGGGACCGCACAGACTGTAACAACTACAGGGGCATCTCACTCCTCAGTGTGCCGGGAAAGGTCCTGGCAAGGATTATTCAGCATCGCCTTGCCAGGCACGCTGAGGAGAGGCTTGCGGAGCCCCAATGCGGTTTCAGGAAAGGGCGGTCCTGCACAGATGCCATATTTTCAGTCCGTTTACTACAGCAGATGTGTAGGGAATTCCAACAAGACCTACATCTCTGCTTTATTGACCTGTCTTCTTTGGTTCTTTCGGTAAAGTCACGTAGAATGAGAATAAAATAATAAATTGATAAAATAAAATGACATAACACAATAATATTCTCACGACGTTTCGGCCACAACACAAGCGGCCTTCATCAGGTGAAGGGACGAGACTGTCTGGTAGGACAGCGCTGGAGTGAAACAGCCACGTTCAGATCACGACCTTTAAGCTGTGTGAGAGGAAACAAAGCGCCTTGACAAAGGAATTAGCATATAATTTAGCATTGAAATGGCTGAATGATTAGCTTGTGACTGGTCACAGAAATAGCTATGTTAAAAGTTAAAGCATACACATCCGCAGAGGCACCCCTTGATAAAGGAATTAGCATAGAATTTAGCATTGAAATAGCTAAGTTAAAGCATACACATCCGCAGAGGCACCCTTTGACAAAGGAATTAGCATAGAATTTAGCATTGAAATAGCTGAGTGATTAGCTTGTAACTGGTCACAGAAATAGCTACGTTAAAGTCAGAGCATACACATTCACCGAGGCACTTAGTACAAATCAAACAGGAGAATTTAGCATTGAAATAACTAGGCGAATTTAGCATTGAAATAACTGAGTGATAAGCTAGTGACTGGTCACAGAAATGACTATGTTGAAGTCAAGGCCTACACATCTGAGCTATTCACAGTACTATATAGTGAACCAATAAAAAACTAAAATATAAATTACCTTAATGTTATCAATAAACTCTATATTCTCCAATCAGCTAAGCTACCAACAATAAGTCGTTATATATCACAATGCTATATGGCGAAAAAAGGGTGGATTCTTACCCTCAACTTTAGCACCACGGATAGCTACGGGCCCCGTTCAGACGGACGAGTTCATCCATGGTCGGAACAGAGGAGGGGGAGAGAGACAGCTGCGAGGCGCTATTATACTCCATGTTGTAAACCATACCATTAACCGTGGTGTGAGAGGTATTAAGAGTCAATGCTGGCGAAAGAGCTGTGGTCTGAAGGTCATCGTAAAAATACAATTAATTAAGAACAGAAATGATTTAAAACATCTTTCCAGTGGTTACTAAGCCAGAATCCATCTTCTCGGTTGAAATTGTTTCTGTGCTTGTATATGTGAATGGCCTCATGAACGAATCTCTCATGGTAGCCGGTTGGTTTGCAAAGAACCTCCGTCTTGGAGAAGTCAATGTCATGTGAGCCCACTGAATTATAACAGTGATCTGCCACGGCAGAGGAGTTCGTCCTACCGTGTTTCAAGTCTGCTTTATGTTCGCGGATGCGGTCCGAGATATGTCGTTTGGTTTCTCCAATGTAGCCACTACCACAGAGGCACTTTAGTTTGTAAACACCCGGGTACTGTATGTCTGGAACAGCATCTTTTACAGATGGAACTAAATCACGGATTTTATGTACTGTGTTGAATCGGACCTGGATCTTGTGTTTATTCAGGATTTTGGAGATCTTTTTAGTGACCCCTGCAATGTAGGGTAAGGTGATGGTTTTGAGTGGCTCCACAAGAGGATCCTTCTTCATGACTGGAGTGATGGCTTTGCGGATTGTGTAGGCGGAGTAACCATTAGCCCTGAGAGCCTGGTGTACGTGCTTGAGTTCACTGGTAATGTGTTCCTGGTCGGAAATGCATTGGGCTCTATGGTATAGAGTCTTGATGAGGGAGTTCTTCTGGGATGGATGGTGGTGGGAATCCGGTTTCAAGTAAGCATCTGTATGGGTAGTTTTCATGTAGACAGAGTGGCTCATTGAACCATCATGTCTCCTTTTAATTAAGACATCCATAAAGGGTAGTTTGCCATATTTTTCGACCTCCATGGTAAATCTGATGGCTGGGTGTATGGAATTGATGTGGTCGCGGAATTGGTCTAGAGCAGGCTGGCCATGTGGCCAGATGACAAAGGTGTCATCAACGTACCTCTTCCATAAGGTCGGGCGTAGAGTGGCAGTCTGGATGGCGTCAGTTTCAAATTTTTCCATGAATACGTTGGCTACAACCGGAGATAGGGGGGAGCCCATTGGGGTGCCCTCAGTTTGTTTGTAGAAAGTTCCATTCCAGGTGAAGTATGTGTTGGTTAAGCAATGTCTCACCAGGGGGGGTACATCAGTATGCAGTCCTTGATGAACCAGGTCTTCAATGATAGCGATGGTGTCAGGTACCGGGACTTTGGTGAACAAGGACACCACATCAAAACTGACAAGCAGGTCGTCTGGGGACAGGGAAATGCCTTTGATTGTCGATACCAGGTGAGTAGAATTTAATACCACAGAGGTGGTTTTTCCAGTGAAAGGTCACAGTATATCAGCAAGAAAACGTGCCAGTTTGTAGGTGGGGGAGTTGATAGTAGAGACGATGGGGTGTATCTTCTTTGTGTATCTTTGGAAGGCCATATAATCTTGGTGGTCTGGCAGCAGAGGGTTTCAACGAGAACTGTTTGATCTCATCAATTAATGCTGTTGAATCAGAGATAATTTTGTTCGTTTTGGTGACCAGGCTGTTGGTGAGATCTCTTTTTATTTTTGTATAGCTGCCATCGTTGAGTAGTTCTTGAATTTTGTTGTTATATTCTGTTTTGTCACATACTACACCTGGAATGGAACTTTCTACAAACAAACTGAGGGCACCCCAATGGGCTCCCCCCTATCTCCGGTTGTAGCCAACGTATTCATGGAAAAATTTGAAACTGACGCCATCCAGACTGCCACTCTACGCCCGACCTTATGGAAGAGGTACGTTGATGACACCTTTGTCATCTGGCCACATGGCCAGCCTGCTCTAGACCAATTCCGCGACCACATCAATTCCATACACCCAGCCATCAGATTTACCATGGAGGTCGAAAAAGATGGCAAACTACCCTTTTTGGATGTCTTAATTAAAAGGAGACATGATGGTTCAATGAGCCACTCTGTCTACAGGAAAACTACCCATACAGATGCTTACTTGAAACCGGATTCCCACCACCATCCATCCCAGAAGAACTCCCTCATCAAGACTCTATACCATAGAGCCCAATGCATTTCCGACAAGGAACACATTACCAGTGAACTCAAGCACGTACACCAGGCTCTCAGGGCTAATGGTTACTCCGACCACACAATCCGCAAAGCCATCACTCCAGTCATGAAGAAGGATCCTCTTGTGGAGCCACTCAAAACCATCACCTTACCCTACATTGCAGGGGTCACTAAAAAGATCTCCAAAATCCTGAATAAACACAAGATCCAGGTCCGATTCAACACAGTACATAAAATCCGTGATTTAGTTCCATCTGTAAAAGATGCTGTTCCAGACATACAGTACCCGGGCGTTTACAAACTAAAGTGCCTCTGTGGTAGTAGCTACATTGGAGAAACCAAACGACATATCTCGGACCGCATCCGCGAACATAAAGCAGACTTGAAACACGGTAGGACGAACTCCTCTGCCGTGGCAGATCACTGTTATAATTCAGTGGACTCACATGACATTGACTTCTCCAAGACGGAGGTTCTTTGCAAACCAACCGGCTACCATGAGAGATTCATTCATGAGGCCATTCACATATACAAGCACAGAGACAATTTCAACCGAGAAGATGGATTCTGGCTTAGTAACCACTGGAAAGATGTTTTAAATCATTTCTGTTCTTAATTAATTGTATTTTTACGATGACCTTCAGACCGCAGCTCTTTCGCCAGCATTGACTCTTAATACCTCTCACACCACGGTTAATGGTATGGTTTACAACATGGAGTATAATAGCGCCTCGCAGCTGTCTCTCTCCCCTCCTCTGTTCCGACCATGGATGAACTCGTCCGTCTGAACGGGGCCCGTAGCTATCCGTGGTGCTA